CGGAGACTTGCAGTCTGGACCCCCTCCTCAGGAATTTCTCCTCCTCGTGGCTACTCCTGAAATTGTGCTTTTCTTCTTCATTAAGCAAACATGCCTTTAAAGCCTCAAAATTTAAGTCTTTCTCTTCTTTGCACTCAAATATAGCAGAAACTGTGTCCCACGTTTTATCTAAACTGTTCAACACCAATAAAACCTTCTGGGACTCAGGAAATTTAATCCCACGTTGTTCTAAGTCCAAAAATAAACTTTGCATTTTATTTAAATGCTGTTCCACAGATTCACCTCGTTGCAAACAGGCTCTGTAAAGTTTTCTTGACAATTGCACTATATTACATGCAGAAACATTCACGTGCACAGCTCTCAACTTCAGCCAAATTTCCTTTGCAGTCTTTAAATTTGCAACATTTAGAAACTGTTCATCATCTAAATTCAAGATGAGATACGCCATTGCTTGATCATGGCTTTTCTGATCAACAGCTGCAAATACTTGTGGAGGATTTTCTACAATATACCACAGCTCTTTTGCTTTCAGCAAACATTCCATTTTTGCTGCCCAGATAATGTAATTCTTTTGCCCTAAACGAGGCACAGAGCTTTCCTTAAATTCGATTGCAGCCATTCTGCTAATTCTGCCTTGTTCTTATACTTCTAAACATAGGCAATTTCTTCCAGCTTCAAATTACAATGCAGTCCTTAGTAAGCTCTGGGCCCATAACCTGTTAGAGAATTTTAATTTCTCTGTTGGTGAAAATAAATCAGAAGCTCTCACAGTTGACTGCATTTAGCTGATTCAAATAAACTCTTTATATTCATATAAAATATTTACAATACCATATATTCTTCTTCATAGCAACATAGCATAAATGAAGACTTCTTACAGCAGAGGCAGACCAGAGACCTGAAACTGAAACCCAGCTTCTAACTCAATAACCTTTTGCACAGACTCAGTAGCATTTTCTTCACATTGGCTGACTGAGTTACCACATGACTCTTCCTGCTCATGAATATTCCAACAAACATTCATATTTGGGTGAGTTTTTCAAGTATTGTGATTGGTTAAGGCCCTGTGGGCTTAGAGTATAAATTACAGGCAATTGCCTGAAGTTCTCCAGTTCTAGTTTGAATCAATAAATAACGTTGTAACTATGTTGGTCTGCTCCTTGCCTATTGAAGCCCACTACACAATAATAGGGGAGACATGATAGCAGTATTCCAGTATTTGAGGGGGGTCACATTATTCACCAAAGCACCAGAGGGCAGGACAAGAAACAATGGTTGGAAACTGATCAAAGAGAGAAGCAACTTGGAGTTAAGGAGAAACTTCCTGACAGTGAGGACAATCAGCCAGTGGGACAGCTTCCCTCCAGAAATCATGGGCGCTCCATTACTGGAGATTTTTAAGAAGAGTCTAGACAGTCATTTGTCTGAGATGGTATAGGTTCTCCTGCTTGAGCGGGGGGCTGGACTAGAAGACCTCCAAGGTCCCTTCCAGCTCTATTCTATTCTATTCTATTCTATTCTATTCTATTCTATTCTATTCTATTCTATTCATATGGATTCTCCATCCAATTCCCAGTTCAATCAGATCTTAAGGCCAAGGAAGCTTTCAAACAAAAAGTTCTTGGTGTGGCTGCCCAAGATGATATTGCAGAACTTAAATGTGTCAAGTCTCTAAAGTTGCTGGCAAAACATAAATCAATCTCCTAGTTAGAAAAGTATTTAACAACTTACATGCCTCAACTTCTCAGCAGAGCTTTTTCTAGAGCTTGATTCAAACAACTGGATTCCATGGTAAGACATGGGAGGTTTCATGGAGTCCCAATTAAAGAAAGACTCAGCATTTGTGGAGCACCAGCCATTGAAGACACTGGACACATTCTTGTTGACTACAAATTGTAGTCTCCAAAAAGGGCTGTTTACTCAGACCCTTATTTAACAACTAAAAAATATTGGGGTACCTGGGAGAAACAGTCTTTCTTATTGCAGGGAATGAACCTGCATATCACAAGTAAGACTGCGCTCTTCATTTCAAAGGTCCCCTCAAAGAGGACAGAATACCTAGATCAGATTGGGGTTAACTGGCTGACAAACCGTACTCAGCGAGTAGTCCTCAATGGTACTACATCCACATGGAGAGAAGTAAGCAGTGGGGTACCACAAGGGTCCATCTTAGGCCCAGTACTCTTTAATATCTTCATCAATGACTTAGATGAGGGAATAGAAGGGGAACTCATCAAATTTGAAGATGACACCAAACTGGCAGGAATAGCCAACACCCCAGAAGACAAGCTCAGGATCCAAAAAGATCTTGACAAACTTGAACAATGGTCCCTATCCAACAAAATGAGTTTTAATGTGGAGAAAAGCAAAGTTTTACATTTAGGCAGGAAAAATCAAAGGTTTAAGTACAGATTAGGCAAGACCTGGCTCAAAAACAGCAACTGTGAGAGGGACCTTGGAGTCCTAGTGGACAATCACTTGACTATGAGCCAGCAGTGTGCAGCAGCAGCCAAAAAAGCTAATACAATCCTAGGTTGTATAAACAGAGGCATGGAATCAAGGTCACGCGAAGTATTAGTAATGCTTTATAAAACCCTAGTAAGACCACACCTGGAATACTACAACCAATTTTGGTCACTATACTACAAAAAAGATGTTGAGACCTTGGGAAAAGTTCAGAGAAGAGCAACTATGATCAAAGGCCTGGAGACTAAAGGATACAAATAATGGCTGCAGGACTTGGGTTTGGCTAGTCCACAGGTCGGCAACCTGTGGCTCCGGAGCCGCATGCGGCTCTTTCAGCCGTCCCCTGCGGCTCCCTGTCCTCAGCCACTATGTGCAGTCTGAAAAAAAAATGTGGGACTAAAAAAGTTCAACCAATCAGTTCAAACTTCTCATGAAGTTTGAATTGATTGGTTGAACTTCTTTGGTTTGTGGGACTGCCCACAAACCTCTTTCCTTCTTCGGACTGCACATGGTGGCCGGGAGGATTGCTGGAAAGGTGTCCCTGGTAAGAAGCCTCGGGGTGCCTCTTCCCTGCCCGGCGGGTCTCCCCTTGCCCTGCTCCACCGCCGCCTTTGTTAGTCGGGGGGGGTCGCCGGGGGTCTTCCGGAGCTTCCCCTCTCTGCCTGCACCTTTTGGCCGTCTCACGGGCAGCGGATCCCCGTGGCCTCTTTCGAGAGATTCCCCCACGGCGCATGCCCGGCCCTTTCCCCACCTACTGCGCGGTCCTCTTGACTGTCCTCCCGCTGCCGCTGCTGCTGGTGGTGCTGAACGAGGCCGAAGAGGTGGTGGCGAGCGGGCAGCCATGCCCCTTCGCCGTCCTGCCACCACCGCCGCTGCGTCGCACTGAGTGAGGTCGAAGAGGAGGCGGTGAGCAAGCAGCTGCACCACTTTGCCGTCCTCCAGCTGCCGCCGCCGCCCTCGGTGCTGCAGGAGAACAAGACCTTGGGCTGTGAGGGCGGCGGGGCCGGCGACAGGTCGGGCCCCCCCTCGTCCCCACACCAGCATTCCCTGTTGCCGGCATGGCTGCCACCAGAGCCACTGCCTCTCGTCCTGTTCCCCCTCCCTGCCCATTCGGCTGAGGATGCGGTGGGGGCAGCGGCCGGGCTGTGGGCGGTTGCCGGGTTGGGGGCGGCGGGGACCCCCAACGATGCTGCAGTGGCCGCCACCGTGCCGCCACGGCCACCGGAGCCGCTGCCTCTCATCCTGCTCCCCCTCCCTGCCCGTTCGGCTGAGGATGCAGTGGGGGCGGCGACCGGGCCAGGGGTGGCAGGGACCCCCGACAATGCTGCAGTCGCCGCCGCCATGCCACCACCGCCGCCGCCATCGGAGCCGCTGCCTCCCATCTTGCTCCCCCTCCCCGCCCTTTCGGCTGACGCGGCGAGGACCCCCGACGATGCTGCAGTGGCCGCCGCCACTGCCTCCAGAGCTGCTGCCTCCCGTCCTGCTCCCCCTCCCCGCCCATTCGGCTGAGGATGCGGCGGGGGCGGTGGCTCGGCCAGGGGTGGCGGGGACCCCCTACAATGCTGCAGTGGCTGCCGACATGCCGCCGCCGCCACTGGAGCTGCTGCTTCCCATCCTGCTCCCCCTCCCCGCCCGTTCGGTGCCGTCTGCCTTTTGTTCTCTCTCTCCTCACCTGGAGAGAGAGGGAGAGGGAGAGGGAGAGAGAGAGAAGAAAGAGAGAAAGAGAAAGAGAGGAAAGAGAGAGAGTGAAAGAGAGAGAGGAAAGGGGAAAGACAAAGAGAGAAAGAGAGAGAGAGAAGAGAGAGAGAGGAAAGAGAGAGAAAGAGAGGAAATAGAGAGAGAGAGAAAGATAGAGAGGAAAGAGAGAAAGAGGAAAGAGAAAGAGAGAGAACGAGAAAGAGAGGAAAGAGAGAGAGAGAGGAAAGAGAGAAAGAAAGATAGAAGAGAGAGAGGAAAGAGAGAAAGAGAGGAAAGAGAGAGAGAAAGAGAGAGGAAAGAGAAAGAGGAAAGAGAAAGAGAAAGAGAGGAAAGAGAGAGAGAGGAAAGAGAGAGAGAGGAAAGAAAGAGAGAGAAAGAGGGAGAGGAAAGAGAGAGAGAAAGAGAGGAAAAAGAGAGAGGGGGAGAGGAAAGAGATTAAGAGAGGGAGAGGAAAGAGAGAAAAAGAGGAAAGAGGGAGAGAGAGAAAGAGTGAGAGAAAGAGAGGAAAGAGAGAAAGAAAGAGAGAGGCAGAGGAAAGAGAGAAAAAGAGGAAAGAAAAAAGAGAGAGGAAAGAGGGAGGGAGAAAGAGGAAAGAGAAAGGAAAGAGAGAGGACAGAGAGAGAGAGAGACCCTTTTGACATCTAAAATGAAGATAACACTGCATATATCCTTTTTTACCTTTATTTTATATATACACACACAAACACATATACATACATACATACATACACACACACACATACATACATACATACATACATACATACATACATACATACATACATATTAAAGGTAAAAAAGGATATATGCAGTGTTATCTTCATTTTAGATATCAAAAGGGTTTTGCGGCTCCCAGTGTTTTGTTTTCGGTGGGAAACGTGTCCAAGTGGCTCTTTGAGTGTTTTGGGTTGCCTACCCCTGGGCTCGTGTAAAGAAAAGAAGAAATAGGGGTGACATGATAGCAGTATTCCAGTATTTGAGGGGCTGCCACAAAGAAGAGGGCATCAAACTATTCTCCAAAACACCAGAGAGTAAGACAATAAACAATGGTTGGAAACTGACCAAAGAGAGAAGCAACCTGGAATTAAGGAGAAACTTCCTAACAGTGAGGACAATTAACCAGTGGAACAGCTTGCCTACAGAAACCGTGGGCGCTCCATCACTGGAGATTTTTAAGAAGAGGCTAGACAGTCACTTGTCTGAGATGGTATAGGTTCTCCTGCTTGAGCGGGGGGCTGGACTAGAAGACCTCCAAGGTCCATTCCAGCTCTATTCTATTCTAACTGTAGGGGTGATGATCTATTATGAAGTTTTGTTTTCTTTATCTATTTGCATTTCAGTATCAGTATATTTGATACAGTCAATTGACTTAATCAATAAAGTTTTCTTCTTCTTCTCTTTCTCCTCACTGCTTCTCTCCCCAAAAGCCTTTCCTCTCTCACATACACACACTTCTCCCAAAAAGCCTTTCCTCTCTCTCACACACACACTTCTCCCAAAAAGCCTTTCCTCTCTCTCACACACACACTTCTCCCAAAAAGCCTTTCCTCTCTCACACACACACACTTCTCCCAAAAGGCATTTCCTCTCTCTCACACACACACTTCTCCCCAAAAGCCTTTCCTCTCTCTCACATACACTTCTCCCAAAAAGCCTTTCCTCTCTCTCTTTCTCCTTACCACTTCTCTGACAAAAGCCTTTTCTCGTCTGACTTTCTCCGGCGTCTTTTTTTCTCTCTCCCTTTCCCACCAAAACTGCCTCCTTTTATATCCTCTCCTGTCTCTACCCTCCTCCTCTTTTCTCTTCCAGGTGTGCTGGAAGTGCCGATCCTGGGGCCTTTGTCTCGCCCCAGCAGCCCTGCAGCTCCTGATGACTCTCTCATGGCAAGTCCTGTGCTGCACTGCTTTAGCTCATTCCCTCCCCACACTACACTTGTCTAGGCTAGGCAGGGTCACGTACCACCTGCCAGGTGCCAATGTACCACCAGTGGTACACATACCACTGGTTGAAAAGCCCTGCTCTAGGGTAGTAAAATTCAGCCTAGCATCATATGATTATGTAATTAATCCTAATAAGGCTCAAGAACATTTGAAGTCAAGTCACTTTGAAATGAGATGGGCGGCAAATAAATTTAATAATAAATAAAAATAAACAAAAACCAGCTGTGGCTAGTTTAAAACTAAATCTGGAAACTTTTCCATCCTTTACATTGTAAATTCACCTTTTGGGAATCTGTCTGGACTTTGGCATTGAACCATTCACAGGTACTGTACTTTACCAACAGGGAAAAAGAAATATGTGGAATTATGGCAAAATATAAGGTCTCCTGCCTTGAGCAGGGGGTTGGACTAGAATACCTCCAAGATCCCTTCCAGCCCTATGTCTTCTATGATATCCAAGCCAGGTGACTTACCAGATTCTGAAGATGGAAAAAACCCAAGCCAGTTATACCATTCATTGTTTTTAAAGTCTCTCTAACAGCTAATCTTTCTCCTGTCTGGCCACAGATCATTCAAGGAAGAGAAGCCACTCACTTCACCTAGTCTATGCAATAACTGTCTTTTGATTCAGTAGACTTTAATAGGAACCTATCAGGAGAAACTGCAGTCACTTCAGGAAGAGTGTCAGGGCCCACTTCAAAACCTCATCCGAAGAAAGCAGGACTCTTGGAACAGTTTCTTTCCAAAAGGAAATTTTATTAGGAGAAGCTGATAGCAGGCATAATAGGCAGGATCTGAGGGTTTCCCACTCAGATCAATAGGTTAAAAGAGTTCCAAGCAAACCCCACCCCAATAGTTCATCTGGTCAGTTTGAATGGGCCAATCCTCAGGTGTCAAGTCCACTGTGGGAAAGGAGCTGATAACGGGGTCCGTTCCCATGATTGTGAAGATGTTGTTGGGTCTTCGCACCTTCCCTTCTGCAGCGAGAGATAATCCAGATGGCCAGAGGCACATTCCTTTCTCACCCAAAGGTAACATCAAGGGAGAGACAGTTCAAAGAGTAAGTTTGTAGAAACAGCAGAAAGGATACATTGTAGCAAAGCAGAGACACATACCACAGAGCCTTCCCCCCTCCCCCTCAGGAGAATGGCAGAACCCTCAGAAAGAAATGAAGAAGAAATAAAATAGATCCCCCCCGGGAAAGAATGGGTTCTGACATCCTGCCCCCCTTAGAAAAAGAGAGATCCACTTGTAAAAAATAAAATAGAAAAAAGGAAGACAAGGATTAGTCTGGTTTATCTGGGTATGCAGCGTAAAACTTAATAAGTAGTCGGGGGGGAGCCTAACATGACGTTTCTGAACCCACTTGTTTTGGGAAGGTGGCAGGTGTTTCCACGCTAGTAGGTATTGGGTGGAACCATGATGCTTTCTGGAATCTAGGATTTCTTTTATTTCAAAATGCTGTTCACCTTCTACCATGATTGGAGGAGGGGAAGGAGCTGCAGCTGGCCTTAAGGGCGATTGCAGTTCATGTTTTAAAAGGCTGCAGTGGAAAATTGGGTGAACCTGTCTGAGTGTCTTTGGGTGCTCCAATTCTACTGTGACAGGATTGATTATCCTTTTAATGGGAAATGGTCCCACAAATTTTGGTCCTAACTTTTTTGAGGGCTGCAGGGATTTTAGGTATTTTGTTGACAGGTAAACTTTCTCTCCTACTTGAAATGGTTTGGGTTCGCTTCACTTCTTATCTGCTTGGAATTTATATGCTTCCCTAGCTTCGTCTAATGTCTTTCTCATGACTGGCCAGGTATTTTGCAATTGTGCAATCCATTCCTTCAGGGAAGGGATGGTTGGGTCACTTGATGGCATCGGGTTAAAACTTTGTCCCATTGCCACCCGGAAAGGAGTGTAGACCGTGCTGGAATGTACTGTGTTGTTATAAGCGACTTCTGAGTAAGTCAGTCCAATTTTCCTGCTGGTAGTTAATGAAACATCTTAAGTACTGCTCCAGTACTGAGTTCGACCATTCAGTCCCACCATTTGTCTGCAGCTGATGACTAGATGACAGCCCCTGTGTGGTCCCCAGCAGTCCTAGGAATGCTTTCCAAAACTCTGATGTGAACTGTACCCCTCTATCTGATATGATTCATTGTGGGGCTCCATGAAGTCAATAAATATGCTGGATGAAGAGCTTTGCAAGTGTCTTTGCGTTGGGGATTTTTTGGCATGGGATAAATTAAAATGTACTTGTT